GGTTCCTCAGCCTAACAAATATTCAGGGTTTCCCCAGGGCTGAGGGAAGGGCCAGAATTTTTATTTCATTTTATTTATTTTATTTTGTTTTATTAAATGTACATCCAAGTTAGTTAACATATAGTGTAATAATAATTTCAGGAATATAATTTAGTGATTCATCAGTTACATACAATACCCAGTGCTCACCCCAGCAAGTGCCCTCCTTAATTCCATCACCCATTTAGCCATTCGCCCCACCCACTTCCCGTCCAGCAACCCTCAGTTTGTTCTCTGTATTTAAGAGTCCCTTATGGTTTGTCTCCATGTTTTTATATTTTCGCTTCCTTTCTCTTACTTTCATCTGTTTTGTATCTTAAATTCCACATGAGTGAAATCACATGGTATTTGTCTTTCTCTGACTCATTTCACTTAGCATAATACTCTCTAGTTCCATCCATGTCGTTGCAAATGGCCAGATTACATTCTTTTTTATCAGAGAAGGGCCAGAATTTGTGAGACCCCCTTTTTAGAGTTGGTGTTCCCCTTAGTCCTCCCTTAGGTCTCTGACCTTAACTACAGGTTGGATTTAGGCCGCTGGCCGCCAATACGCTGGTAGGACTTAGGCCTCCTGCCTTACAGCAAATCCCTCAATTCCCTGTGCCCCTAGGGGGGAAATTCAGGGACCTCCATATAGGATTACCCTTACCAAGAGCCTTCCAGAAACAAGCTAGAGGGATGCTGCTTTCCCTAAATGGGGAGAGGTCCCCTCATTAGCACTCCAGGGCTTCACCTTCATGGCACTTAGGGCCTAGGCCTCCTCCATCTGCAGGACCCAGGCTACTCCCTTAGATGAAGGCCCTCCCTATCTGAGAGTTTCCAGGCAGAAAGTCTGATAGGTCTGCCAGGCCTCCCAGGGCCAAGGGCAGCAGCAGGACCTAGGAGAGCACCCTGTGTTATGGGTCAGGGTGGTCCTCTCAGTCCCCACTCAAGGTCCTCACCTTGGCTCCAGGCCAGTACTGCCACCCTCAGCTGGCCAGTGGCCTCACCACCCCCACCCCCACTCCCCCACAAATGACCTCACTTCCTAGAAACTCTGGAGAGGACAGAAGGATGAGTCATAACTGGCCACAACCGTTCAGGGTCTCCAAGGGCTAAAAGCAGGGAAAGGGCTCCATGGGATCCCAGTGTTCTGGAGTCGGTGATCCCTACGTCCTGACTCAGGGTCTTCACTTTGATATCAGGACCTGGGACTCCTCCCTCTACTAAATTCAGTTCACCAAAATCCAAATTTATTTGGCTGTAGCCTTTACTTCTTGGAGCCCCGAGAGAGAGAGAGAGAGAGAGAGAGAGAGAGAGAAAGAAAAGAAAGAGAGAGAGAGCGAGAGAGCGAGGGGGTGGTGTGTGTCCGCATGCGCGCGCGCGTGCGCGGTTAGGGGTGGGGGATGGCGGGAGTAGCGGGCGGGGCGGCGGTAGTCAGAGCCTACCAAATAAAACTGCCCCTGCCTGGAGCCTCCCAGAACCAAAGCAGGCGTACCGGTTTCTATCGCCATCTCTACTGGGAAAAGATCCCCTCATTAGCTACTCAGGACCCTCCTCTTGACTCTACTTAGGGCCTAGGTTTCCTTGATCATCAGAACCAGGGTTACTATCTTAGACCGACGCCTTCCTCCCTGAGACTTTCCAGACAAAACTCGGCCTAACGGTCCTGTCAGGACATTCCATTTCAGACCCCAGGGGCAGTACTTTGTGGCGCCACCTTTGTTACAGGAAGGGGGGGGAGGCGGTGTGGTCCCTTCATTTTACATTCAGGTCCTCACCTTGACTTCAAAGAACTCCTGGGAAGTAATCTTCCGTTCCTTGGCAGAAGAAATGCTGCGAACACTGGGCGAGGCCCGCGGTTCCAAAGCGGAAGTTCAGATACATCATATCCGGCCATGGCCACGTGGGGTTCTATGCGATCGCACTGTTCTGAAGTCAGTGGTCTTTAGGTTGTCATTCACTGTCCTCACCTTGGTGTTTATCAGAGCCTGGGATTCCTCCCCCTACTGACCCAAGTCTGCCAGCCCCCAAAGCGAACCCTCACCTTTCCGAGTCCCTGGCGAGGAGTCAGGATGCCCCGTTTCTGACTACCTCTGCCTGGGGCCCCATAGGCTTGAAAAGAGGGCAGGACTCTGTGAGCCTCCCTCACTCCGGTTACGGCCAAGGCGTCTCCCTCTGCAGAACTGGGGCCTGCACCCTGTCAGACAAGGCTCTAATCCTGAGACTCACCAGGCAGAAATGAGGCTTCTCAGGCTCACAGCTCCACCTGAGGCCTCTCCACGGTTAAGATGGGTGCAGGGGATGGGGCGCCTGGGTGGCGCAGTCGGTTGAGCGTCCGAC